CGGGTGACCAGAGTGATCAGCAGCTTGATCAGCTTAAGGGGAAGTTTCGCAGGTTTGTGAAGATAGATTCTCGTCACTTAGTTTTCAGAGCTGAGCCAACTGATTCAGTGGTCTCCCTCTCTCCCTATACTTCGAACCAAGACTCTTCTTCAGACTTAGGTTCTCTAGCTTCTATTCTCGGGCTATGTAGATCCACTCGTCTTCGTTTTCTTATTCATAGGTTTGTATCAACTAAGTCTCTGTCTACTTCCCACGAGTCGTTTTTGCAATTTCATCCATCCTTTTTAACCTGATACCTTTGCAGAGGCCAATACTCAACCCTGCTGGTAGCTCTATGCAGATAGAGATCATAGCACTAGAATGGTTTGCTACTTGGGATTGAGTCTCTCTTCCTCTAGGGAAATCAATAGTGGGCTACAAGTGGGATCTATAAAGTCAACAAAAAGCTGATGGAGCTGTTGAGGGGTTGAAGGCTAGATTGGTGGCCAAAGGATACACACAAGAGTATTGAGTTGAACCCCTTTAGAGATAGGGGAAAGATTTGCCCCAGCTTGGCGAATAGCATCCCCGCGCAACGAATTTCATTGCCAACCTCCTGATTGTCTTCTTATTATTTTCCGTTGCATGTTTGGGATACGTTTGGTGTTCAATATATTCCCTGATGTCAGTAAACCATGGTTTACTATTGGGTGCCCTTTCAATGGCCAAAAGATCACTATTGAACATGCTGGGAGTCAACTCAAAAATTTCAATTAGGTTGCAATACACCGGTCTGCTTCTTTGTTCTATCATGATTCGGTGGACTTTCACTCAGGAATGTTTATCATGGAGGCCAGTGTTGCCAATGCATCCGCGAACTTATTTTTTCTCTGGGTAGTGGAGAGAAACTGATTTTCTTGAATTGCTTAGTGAGCTTTTCAAGATAAGCATGGTATGTCAACAATTTTTCATATTTTGTTTTTAATTTCTTTTGAGTTTGGCAGATGATAAGCGTCGAATACCTAAATACTTCGATTTCTTATATTCCCAGGGTCAAGGCAGTATTTAATCCATGGATACATGCTTCATCTTCTGTGGTATTCTTAGTTCCTTAAAAGTTCCGCTTAATGGCAATGGGGGTGTGCGATTCATCAGGTGCAATCAGCAATGCCCCTACTCCGTACCCATTTTGATTAGTCGTGCCATCAAAGTCAAATTTCCATGCCCTCCTCTTCTGTGACAGCTATTTCCTCGTCTGGGAAGCAATCCTTAAACTCATGTTCCTCCTTGATAGGGTGCAAGGTGTTCTGCTATCGCCCTTCCTTTTTGGCTACATACGTGATGTCGAATTCAGACAGAAGCAGTAACCATCTTGTGGTCCTTCCCGTTACGTTAAGGCTGGTTTCTCGAAAAAATACTTTTTTTGTAGGTCCATGAAAGCAATTAAATGTACTGGGTAAGACAGCATGTAATGCGTCAATTTCCGCCTTACCCAAACCAAAGCCAAGCAGGTTTTCTCCAAATTGGTATACCTGGTCTTGTAGTCAGTCATTTTCTTACGTTGGTAGTATATGGGCCTTTACTTCGGTGACTGATAGGTATAGTAATAAATGCTTCCTGGCATTGTAGGCACTAGAATGGAGTCCTTTATTTTGTCAAAAGCTTTCTGGCGGGCTTCATCCCATTTTCCTGCTAAATTTTGATTTATAAATTTGTGTATCAGCTCGCAAGTGGTTATACAAGAGAAAGTCAAAGTCTGATGGGACTATTGATCGGTACAAGGCTCGCGTGGTAGCCAAAGGCTACAACCAGCAATAGTGTATAGACTATGATGAGACAATCAGTCCAGTTATCAAGATGGCATCAAGGGCGATTAGGTGTGACTTGCTTGATAAGGGAAAGAGAAGACGTCCCTCAAAGCCCCATTAACGCAAAAGAAGTCGATTCCTACGTTTTTAAATTACCAGAAGCTCTTAGATACTCTGCTATACTATAGGCTCTAAAGGCATTACTTGACTGAAAGAGTGATTATATTATGGGGGCTTCCCTTTCCAACATCTGACTTATATACAGGTCAACATCGACTTAAGATGCACGAAAAAAAAGTAGCTACCTCGGGAGAGGGATGAGAGTAGTCTTTTTCCAATAGGCTAGCTGCCTATTGCAGGAGTTCCTGACCTGAAAGGACACTAGCAAGCTGCTACGGAATGTGAACAAAGTCAAGGAGATGGCGATTGACATTGAATTCCCTCTTCTTGTTTTAATATGAATTGACTCCGCTTTGGTCACTAGCTCCGTAGGTCCCTAAGCAACTTATCTCGTCACTAGTCACTATGGCCGAAGGTTAGCAAGCCTGCTCCCAGGTCAACAGCGACGTCAGCTCCATCTCCTCTTTCCTTTGTCTTTGTCTACTTTTCATCCTTGACCCTCTTTCCGAACTCGTTAACACCGGAACACCCGCCATGAAGGTCACTCAAAGTAACCTACTCGAGCTTCGCCCTTTGTATTGTACAGCCTGGAAAGAGGTTCGCTAGCCTTTTTCTTTCCCTGTACCTAAAAGTTGCCTTAGTTCCCTTTTTTTTTAAAAAGACCTAAGCTTGAAGTCAAGGCTTCTATGCTGCTCGATCTTTCTTGACGAAGAGAATGGCATACTTAGGTCTCAGGATGAGATTCTGAAAGAGTAACCGCAATATCAGAAGAAATTCTTCCTTGATTCCTTTGACCTGAGACTGCTACTTGTATTTCCTTTACTACTCTTTCTCTCTCCTCAATTGCTTCTTGAGCCAAAAAAGTTTTTGCTTGTCTTTCCTTGCTACTTTCAATCAATCAGAAAAGGAGGATTGAGCAGTGGCTTGGGAAATAAGACAACACTTGATGGGAATTGAGGAGTAGTAAGGAATGATAAAGAGTGAAATTCAGTCACCCTCTCCGCTTTCTTTTCTTGAGAAGAATGCTCTGGTCTGGCATAAATGCCACTAGGTCATCTATGATTTGCATCTGCAAGAGTGAAGGACAGAAGATTGGAAAACTAAAAAGAAAGCCAATAGCAGTTGAGCGTTTCTGAAAGAAAGCCAATACAAGAATAGAATATTCCAAAGCATCCGCTTCTGAAAGAATTTTAACTAATTGTGCCACAGTTGAGTGTTTCTGTCCAATCGCTACATAGACACAATACAATGTCTCACTCTCAGAGTTGGCCCTTGATTTCAGTTGCTTTTGGTTTAATATGGTATCGATAGCAATAGCAGTTTTTCCAGTTGTCGGTCCCCGATTATAAGTTCTCGTTGACCACGACCTATAGGAACCAGGCTATCTACAGCTTTTAACCCTGTTTGCATAGGCTCGTGCACAAATTTACGTTTAATAATACCAGGGGCTTTCACTTTAACATGTCTTCACTCGTGATCGCTTAGAGCCCCCCTTCCATCAATAGGTACTCCCAAGCCATCCACCACACGCCCTAGCATAGCCTTTACCGTAGGAACATCCACAATAGATCCAGTGCGCTTGACAAGATCTCCTTCTTTAATAGCAGTTCACTACCAAAGACAACAATCCCTACATTCTAATTCTCAAGATTCAAGGCTATTCCTTTCACACCGCTGGCAAATTCAACCATTTCCCCAGCTTGAATCTCTTTCAATCCATAAACACGTGCAATCCCATCTCCAACTGAGACCACTCGACCGATCTCATCCACTTGAAAATTGGTGTAAAAGTTGCTAAATCGACTTTCTAATAGACTTGGTAGTTCCAAAAAGGACGATACAGCCAGTAGAGGAATGGTGAAGAAAGATAGATGGAGGTATCCGCAACACTCTGACGAAAGCCACTTTGGAGAAGATAGGTACCGAACCGTTGAAAGCATGCCAATTGTGCGTGACGAAGACCAACAATGGCCTTATGAAAGCGACAAAGATGAGTAGGCTTAGAAGGATCAACAAATCCAGGAAGTTGTTGCATTTATACCTCTTAAAGTCAAAGACCATGGAGGAAGGCATTTTTCACGTCAAGTTGGCGAATGGGCCAATTTCATGAGATGGCAACTGTTAGAACTTAATTTAGTAGTCCGGAATGGTAAATAAAACCATAATGGACTAAATTGATGAGATGCATCCTTTCTTTAAGCGGTCCATATCTTGGCCACCACATCATTTTGAACTATTCAAGGACTGGTCCAATATTGAAGCATGTATCGAATCTGTATGATAGTAGTCGTAATTTGAATACCGCTCCGTGGGGATCTCGAAGAATGCATTTTTGTAGTCCAAGTAAAAGATAGGCATACATCAAGATCTATGGGTTCGGCCACGCAAGAAATGCGTCCGGGTTCATTTTTGAAAGACGGTCCCCAATCTTTCCATGGTATAACCATTCTGATAACGAGCATAGTTGACAGCACTGATCCCTTCTCGTTCAGGTTTTTTTTAAGTAGACTGATCTTCTTCGTATAGAATTGTCTCTGAAGACCTGGAAATCAAAAAATTGAAAGGATAGGGGAGTCACAGCCCCAAACCACGGGAGTGGTTACGTTCACTATGTCCCCCTTATTCCCGATATGATATGGTGTCCCAGGGCTATCTCGCGAAGATCTTCGATCCGAACCTTCGCATCTACTCTCTCTTAGAGGATGAACCACACCTTCGCTATAGCAAGAATATAGCGATCGAAGAGCTATGGCTCAGCTGCTTCGCGTATTACACCGTATTGCCCGAAGGGGGCATGCTGCAAGAGCATATGTTAGTGATAAGCATAGGAGGCATGCCCGAAGGGCAGTAGCGGCGGCAGTGTGGTTCCATATGCCGTCGCTAGATTGAGATCTGCATGGTGGAGGGTACTTCGACTGCCTTGTATCAGGTGAAGAGAAGGGGGTGGTAGGCTTAGTAGGGCTCGAACCTACAATATCACCGTTATGAGTGGTACGTTTCAACCAATTAAACTATAAGCCCCTACGGATCTCTACATGCAATTCGCTCACTCCGGGAAGAGCGGACGGAAAGAGAAGGCCTTTGTCCTATCTGCTTCTTCCTCTTCCCAGGAATGAAGAATTTTCTAAAAAAATTCTTTTCTTTATTTTCATTTTTTATTTTTGTTTATACATGGATATATAATATAATATTATCTATCTATTATTATTATATATCTAAATAATATTAAGCAAGCAGCCCTTTCGCGACTCAAATAGCCGGTATGCTTTCCGGCTCAAAGCGGCGAGGGCTTTCTATTTGCTTGCAATGCTGGCTGTTCGCCTTTAGTTAGAAGTAGAAGTAGAGGGTGCCGTTTTCCCCACACTTCAGAAAAAGTAAAAAATTATAGATGAAGTAAAAAAAAGTACATAAGGAGCGAGAAAGAAAAACTTGGTTACGGGAACCGAAAGTTAGGCCGACTACTTTAGTAGAGCAACACCTAAAAAAGTTGATTCCTATCCCTTACCCTTTCTTTCAATGTTGCCAATTCCCAGAATACTAATGTACCCTCGTGTATACAGTTGTCCAACAACTTTCTTCCTCCGACTTCTTTAGCAACTTCCTCATCTGTCGTATTCGGGAAAGCTTGCTTCGTGGCGGAGCATTTAGCAATGCCAGTAGCTTGGTTAGGGTTGGTTGTCTANCCAGAATACTAATGTACCCTCGTGTATACAGTTGTCCAACAACTTTCTTCCTCCGACTTCTTTAGCCACTTCCGCATCTGTCGTATTCGGGAAAGCTTGCTTCGTGGCGGAGCATTTAGCAATGCCAGCAGCCTGGTGAGGGCTGGCTGTCTGAGGACAGGTTAAGGCAGGGCCTGCTGGGCTTGCTTCTCATGAGATTGGGTGAGGGAATCAGAAAGGGTCTCAAAAACCGGGCGGGCGGGCAAGCTCCCCCTCGAGCTACCGATTTCCCTCCTATCCTAATGACAAAACCGGATTTAGAGGTTGTTTCTCTTAAGACGAAAACATACGATTGCAGTCATGAAGGGTTTCCACCCTACGCCATCATTTTCATGTTTTTTTGTTAAGTAACATGAGCACCTGGGGAGACCGGAGAGCTGTTAGCGGGGCAGAAGGACTCTTAACTGGGGGGAATGCTTTCTATTCGGCCTTCGATTCGATGATGCCTGTCTCGTTGTGGTAGAATAGTACTCCACCATCCGATCTGAGTCCCGGTCGGTGACAACGGCTGATTGCTTTTTCTTATCGGGGGTTTTGACTTTCCTTCCTATTCCTNTTTCCTTCCTGTTCCCTGTTCTGTAGAGCGGTTTATCCCTGACTATCTTAGGGGAAGATTTCTCTCTTCTCTACAAAGACACTCAGAACGCAGTTTGGTCACAGTCAATGGGAATATTACAACATGAAGACAGGACACATGAATATTCACAAACAAAGACGATACTGAATGGGCTCCTATGTTGCGCCTTACTGCTTGCTTTGAAACCTATTCGGATGGCGCGATATAGGATACACTTTGCTTTCTTGTTTAGTGAAANCTTTGCTTTCTTGTTGCGTGAAAGTGCTTGAGCGACCGTCGGGAAAGATTTTTAGCGGGGAAGGCAGCCGAGTCGTCCGTCTTATCTTAGAAATTGCCTTATTAAGGTCCCATCCGTCGTAACCCTTACATTGCATTCTAGCGAGTTTGAAGTTTTGTTCTACGTTTCATGTGGTTCCTCGGTAGGTAGGGCTTCCATTAGTATAGTATCGTGTGCTTGTGCAGGTGAAGTGAAGCTTTTGTTGATTGATTCCAGACAGGTCTCTCGAGCCTTCTTTCTCACTCTCATCTATTTTACATAGATGATTGGTCTCGAGCGTGAAACTCCCCAGGGATTAAAAAAGAAATTCGACTTTTCCCTAACGCCAATAAGAAAGGATTGTGTTTTTAGGTAACAAACCATGCCAAACAGGCTAATCCCGTAGCAAGAAAAAAAGCAGAAAGGAACCGGGGTGGCCAGGTGTGAAGAGAAAGATAGCGTACAACGGAGTAGCCAACTCATAGAAAGAGCAGGGGTGCTAGCTTTGAAACAAGGTAACAGGAGAAACTAAATAATCATCGAGCGAAGATATTTTGTTCTTCCTTAGTCCAATCGAGATATATTTTATTGTACAATTGATGCGGAACGAAGGCGCTTTCCGGGGAGGTGAGGGTCGTAGACATTATATTTTGATCACCTTGAGTTGAGAAGGAAAATAAGCTATTCAAGTTGGTGAGAGAACGGTATGGGATTGGGAATGAATCGATGGACTCCGGGAAGCTTCGTTCCTACATTCTGCTCTAACTTAAAGGCATTCCTTTTTTTCATTTTACGGGAAAACAACAAGGAAAGGGGCAAAGATCCTCGTTGACAACATGAATTCGTACACAAGATACCGAATTGGATCCCTTTCATAGATGGGAATTGATGAATTAAGGAAGCAGTAGCACCCCCTCCCGATGTTTTGCCAGAAGCTCGTTTTCCGACAGAATGAGAAAACTTCAGCCCCGGACCGAAAGGTGGGCGTCTCGATCTAAACCAGCCTTGTCTACCAAGAATCGATACATCGAGAAGGTAGCATGTCGAACTAGAATGCCCTTAATTGAGGAAGTGAAAACTCCTTTGAAAAGCTTCTATCTGACAGGAGGAAGTACTCAACTAGTGAATGAAAGGAAAGATGACGCCCAGGCGAAGTCAACTTATTCAAGAGTCCTCTTTAATTCAGGTAACTAATTAAGCGCATCTATCTACCATCAAAGATAGGTTAGAATGTTAATCTATGCTAGGAGTGCCCCTTACCGTAAACCTTAAGTAGATCACTGAAGGAAGTGTGAAAGTAAGCAAGCAAAGTCTCAACCCGAAATCAATAGCCCGCAAGAAATAGAAAGGAGAAAGCCCATCTCTTTCCAGTAGTATGTAGCTTTACTTCCTTGAACTTCTATGGAGGGCTTAGTTTGCGCATTTAAGTGGCGCTTGTTGAATACCTCTCGTAGGCCTTTTCCAGGGAATGCTCTTGTTTATTTCTAACTAGTGGTGGAAAGAGAATGAGAAAGAGAGCCATGAAAGAGAATCGATTTCAAGTAGCAGTAGAAGTAGATTACGTAGTAGTGCTATCTTGTGACCTCTCCTCTGAACCCTATTCTTTTCCACTAACATCTCGCCCGGTAGTAGTAGCTTCCTCCTCTCGCCGTCCTGACCTTATAACAACTCTGGAACCCAAATCAGTCTTGCAGGAGTGGTAACCCCTGTAGTAAGACTCTTCGGCCTCGTAGTCAATCTACTGATGAGCCTTATCGCCAAAAAAGGGGGAGCCTACTGAAGTTTCAAAAAAAGGAATTGAGAATTATCATAGGCTGTGTTTTAAGGGAAGGAGATAGAAAGGACTTGCTAGGAATTGAATCAATAGGATCAGGGGTNGACTTGCTAGGAATTGAATCAATAGGCTCAGGGGCATGCCCCGTATCCGCTGCAAGAGAATCCGCTCTTTGACACATATATTAGACCGTAGCACAAGAGACGATTCGCTCTAGTCCCGTAACCAAGCGAAAGAAGATTCATGGACAGAAGCTGCGGGTAAAACCTCGGTTTGCCCTCAACTATATACGTTGATAGGGGATAACTTCTTTGCTAGCTACCAGCTAAAGGTGATACTATCTACAACTCCTGAAAGAAGGCCAAATAGTGTCTCATCCGACATTCCCTCTCTAAGGAATGCTTATTCAAACCATTTGTGGGAATTTGAGAATTTTCTTCTTTATCTCTTTCTCCTTGCTGGAAGGTTGTTTATGAGCGGAAGGGAAGTAGAGGTAGAGGGTCCGAAGGAGAGAGGAGATCTATGCTCTTATCGTTAATTAGGTATGCCTCTAGATCTGAATGTATACCCTAGGCCAAGGGGTGCGATCCCTCGAGCAGCTCTTCATACTATGGGATTATATAATCTCCTTGACCTTTCGATTGAGGATATTCAGCAGTGGGCCTACCTTAAGGTAGGAGGTGATTGAAAAGGGGGAAGTCGGTCC